TTTACTAAAAATCACAATCATCTACATATAACAAGAGAATTACATTTGAACCCTTATAAACACAATTACACCATTGTATTTTCTTAAAATGTAGATTTTCTAAAGTACTTTCAAATTCACAAAACCATTCACGGCCGCTTTGATGTAGACCGTAAATGGCCTTGTGTAATAAACACACTTTATTTTTCTCTTCGAATAAATCCCTCTGGTTGGGTCATATATATTTTCTCATTTAGGTTTGCATATAAATATGCATTCTTTACATCTAACTGACAATTAGTCCATCCATATAAACATACCAGTATAGTGAAAAATATTCTTATGATTGAAAAATTTACTACAGGACTGTAAACGTCATCAAAATCTTCACCTCTTTTCTGCCTGAATCCCTGTGCTACTAAACGTGCTTTGTATCTAACCACTTCATTCTTTTCATTTCTTTTTAGCGTATAGACCCATTTGTTTCCTATTATAGTTTTATTTTCTGGCTTTTCGACTAATTCCCAAACCTTTCTTTTCTTCATTGTGTCAATTTCTTCTTTCATTGCATTGCCTTATCCCATTCTTCGGCATTTACTGATTTTCGTGCTTCTTTAAAATTTTGTGGGATAACTAATTTCTACGGAATTTGCCTCTTCAGACACAGGAGCTAGTCTCCTGTTCTACAAAATTAACTTTCCCCGAGTATTCGTTTTTTCCACTAAAATCGAAACTTATCTTTTTCATAATTTAATATTTCTTGCCTCACAATACTTTTCAATATCATTATAGGATCTAAAACGGGTGTCTGTTCCCTCTACATAATAATATATGTCTGTACGTGTTTCCATCTGGCCTTTTAACTGCTTTTCTTTGCCAGTTTAAGTCTGATACTTCTTTCGGAGTAGATTTGTCATCTGACAACTTTATTTCTTCTCTAGAAGTTTCCTGTTCTTCATCTGATTCTGCTAATAGCTCAGATTCCTCTAGTCTTTTAAATTTAGGTTTTTGATTTCTGTTCCAGGATGCCATTTGCTGCATACAGTTTTTCATCGAACTTCACATTACAGGTTTCTATTAATCTGCGTTCTTCTGGCAGCCATATCCTATAACCCTAGTTTCCTTCGCATATCCCTACCATGATTCCTTCTTTGCACCTCATTTGTAATTTATTTCTAATCTGTTTTGGCACGCCAACATAGGCTTTACAACCAAATATTTAAAATAAACAACACTGGGTTTTTCTATTTAGGAACATTTCATAAGGGGTTCGGTTGCTTTTATGACATACTCTGTTCCACGTATGTACGAAACAGCCAAGAGCTTCTGCCCACCATTCTTTTCCCATTTTACCATCATTAAGCATAGCTTTAACTGCGTCTAATGCCGTTCGGTTAAAAACGTTCACACACACCGTTCTCTTCTGGGGTGTACGCGTTCGTGCGTTCAACACTAATTCCATTTTCGGCTAAGTACCCTTCGAATTGCCTGTTTACAGAATTCCCCACCATTATCGGTGCGTATACTTATTAATTTTCTATTCGTCAGTCTTTCCATTTGCCTATGATAATTCTTAAAGTTGTAGAACGATTCGTTTTTATTTTTCATACAATACACTGTTACTAATCTACTATAGTCATCCACAATAGCAAGAAATATTTTACTCCCACCCTTAGATGGAACTGGTAGTGGGCCACAAACGTCTAAATAAACCAACTGCAATGGTTTATCCGATCTCTTCGGAACAGATTTAAAAGTTATTCTACTAGATTTAGCAATAATACACGGTTTACACACCTCTCTATTGGTTTTTCAATTTCTGGTAACCCTTTCACGCTTTGATTCTTACTAGTTTTCTTAATATAATCAAAATTTACGTGGCTAAATCTCCGATGCCATAGCATTGCATCGTCTACTTACTTTTTATTTAACTTTCCAATTTCTGTACCGTAACCAGCTTCCCTTTTACCTGTTGCATATCTAAATGGTTTTACGTGATAAAGTCCGTCATATCGTTTAGCGTAGCATAATCTATCCCAATTATTAAAGTATATCCACATCTTCCCTTTTGAAATCACAAAATGAGCACCAGCCTTTTCTAACCTGTCTCCGATAATAAATTTCTTCTTAGATTTGGATTATATAACACATTATCTAACTCAATCCAATTTATTCGATTGCCTACTTTTACTGCAAATTTGACAGTACCCTTTCCTTGTACTTTACTTTCACAATTTCCTACAGCTGAAGACATACGTATATCGTTTATTTCTTCGAAATTTGTCATTAAATTTCTGTTATTACAGAAATGAGTTGTAGCTGCAGTATCTACGACCCAATTAAATTTATCTGCGTTACCTCCTTTATCTGTAGTTGTTACATAATTTTCTACTAACATTAATTCTTTATCTTTAAACTGTCCATTTTTATCATCTATTTTAAACTTCTGATTTTTACTTACATTTTTTCTTTACATTGAGCGATTAAGTGCTCCAAATTTATGACATCTGAAACAAGGTCCTATTCTCATATTCCCCATTTTTTTCTTAGATTTAGTTTTATTTTCAACTTATCTTTCCCTGCATTTGAACTAATAGTATTAAACACGCTTACCTTGCTGTCTTCTTCTAAATCGGCAATTACCTGGTGAAGTCGGCTTCTTTCTTCCCTTACCAGCTTCTTCAGCAATTCTTTCCAGCGTAAAATCTTCGTCCTTCCACCTATAGATCAATTGTACAATGCCGGAGTATTCTTGGGGTAATCTCCTTATTGCCTGGAATCCTTTAAAAAGATCTGCCAAGTTGTGACCAGCTTCAGCCAACTTCTTTGCAGTCATTCTTATTCTTGCGATGAATAATCCTATTTCTTCATTTGGCGTATATCTAATACTAAAAAATTCATCCAGTAACTGAATTATCCTTGCTCTTGTTTTGGGTTCGAATTGCTTCTGTAGAACTTCCCATGCTTCTTTACCACTTGAACATTCTTGTATCAGCGGCCTGAACTCAGCTTTAATTCCGTAATATAATGTAGTGAAGGCTCTGTTCTCCCTCAGTGTGAACTCCTGCTTTTCATGCCTTGTTGCACTTTTATCTAATTCTTCTTCTTTGTCTTCAATGAAGCTTCAACAATTTCTATCCAGCATTTTCATGTCGACTTTCCATCGATCCCAGTTGTCATGGTTTAACAACTCAAAACCTTCAGGTAGTAATGACATCTTCAATTAAGTGTGAACACAACGACTTGAACAAACTTCTAAGACAGGTCAGCTTCTTTTCGTGGATAACGGCCCTCTTCACCTACATTCCATCAAAGCTGAGTTGAACTGGATGACTGATTAGCTGTTGGCGCTGGGCCCATAACCCTGTTGGCAGTGGTGATAAAGGCAAAGCATATTTGGCTTTCCTTAAATAAAGCTAAGACTAAACTAAATAAAATTCATGCTTTATTCCGTAAATAAAATAAAAGAGCTAACACTGTAGCCTTTACATTTAAAATCATTTGATTGAAAGCAAACTAGCATAATGCTAATTGATAATCACACAAGAGAACAAGAAACAAGAAGCATTCGCCGATACCGGCGTACATATATATATACTCGGCCAACCCGCCGATCTTGACGTCATCGGCCAATCGGCGGCAACCACGTTAGCTTACCTCCGATCAAAATTTGCATGTGGAAAACTAAAGCCAACAGTTACAAGTAGCTTAATGCGCTGAGAAGGTAATATCCCGATATCTTTCAGCATGCTAGACGCCGATGGACAAGTTGCGACTGGCTCGCTCTCGCACAACTTGTGTATTAGTTGTGTGTGCCTCCTCCAACGCTGAACATCGTGCCTGCCTTCACTGTGCAAATCTAGGGCATTTTCTTCAGAGCTGATGTCAATCTAGCCCTCACCCCCTCTCATCCGCACTTAGTTGAACTCGATTCGTGGCAGAAGCGCACTTGAATGGTTGGAAAGCCACGGTTTGCTGACCCCTGCCTTACATAATCATGCCATTAATTAATAGCCATGATAAAAATGACTAAACATTTTTTTAAAGCCGTTTCCTGGAACATAACATTTATAAGATCTAAAGCTCAAAATATAGTAAAGAAAGATTTAGGTGCAAAAAGCAAGTAAATCTAGAATTCATGATGTGGTTAATCCAGTCAATCATCCTAAAACATAGGTAGCAAGTTTCATGAATTCTTGACTGAAATAAAAATCTAGCTATTTGGCAACTTAGTACCATACATTATGATGTTTCTCTGTCTTTTGGGCACTTAGATAGTATTTGATGATTTTATCTCTTATTTCACGGAATTTATTTCAATTTAACTAATATATTCTTTAATATTTTGATCAAATTAACTGACTTTGCTTATCACTATAACCAATGCATATTCCATGTTTTCTTATACAAACGGGCAGTACTTCAGCAATTTGATGGCAATATCAGAATGATACGTAACCGTGATCACATTACGCAGAACGTATCCTATACCCATAATATAAACATGCAAGCAAGCCTATGCAAACCATAGGAAAGAAAAATTGTGCAATAATTCATAGAAGCAGAAAACAAAATTTAATCAGTAAAGTTTCATTATGGAGATCTGTACATCTGTTTTCTCAGAATGGGGAGCATATTCTAAGTAATTTACAAATTTATGTAGATTATGCCTTTACTTTTCCTGACATAATAATTATAATTTTTTCTGAGGAAATAATAATAATGAGATAATTATATTTTGTTATCTGAATGTGAAATAACATGTTTCATGAATAAGATTGCACCAGATGTTTAAAACTGGCTTTGAATTCTCAGGCTTGTATAAAATAATTAGATTATATTATTTCTAAATTATGGAATTGCTTCATTATTTTGTATTAAATAGTAAATACTGTAATTTGATATATTGTTGGCTAATTAACATTTTCAAAATTGTTTAAACTATTATAAAAAGTGTACCTATTTCCCTCCCCTCTATCTTCTAAATATTTATTTTATTTATTTATTATTTCTTTGTACAGTACATCAATGGGGGCAGTCTAGAGCAACTCCTTCAGAATAAACATATCGAACTACCATGGGAAACAAGAATCAAACTTTCTCTGGATATTGCTCGTGGCATGTGTTACTTACACTCCCGGGGAGTATTTCACAGAGATCTCACATCAAAAGTAAGTAATAAAGGTCTCGTGTCTTTTTTTTTCCCCTGCATTATTCTTGCTTATTGAACTTCAGTGAGTTCCTTTTGTGAAAACTTTGTATTATTATTGAGTATAGCTTGTGGATAACCTGTAAAGAATTAATTATCAGAATCTTTTTTTGAATACTGATATAAATATAAACACCTCTGTTTATTAGATACAAAAGTTTTGATGACACTAGCAAAAATTATGCATGTGTATTATGCAGCCTTATCAAAAATTGTACTAATTAAATATTTGTTAGTTTTTTAACCTTATATATTCATATATATGTGTGTGTGTGCATGTATGTGTGTGCCCAAGCAAAATTGGCACAGGCTAGAGGCTTTGGAGGTTGAAATGTGTTCTAGAGGTCTACAAGATGACAGATACCATGGGTGAAGAAACTCAGAGGTGGAACCTGTTTTCAATGGCAGCTGGGACCTCATTATTGTCTGCAAATTGCTGTCCCTTTAGAGCTTTTTTAAGTGGATCAAAGACATTGTAGTCACAAGGTGAGATGTCAGAGCTGCTGTAGGGGGTATGTTCCAGCGAAATTGGGTTCACAATGTTTTCCATGCAATAGCCACATGAGGAGGAGCATTATAATGCAAGTGAATTACCTTGTGTGACAGCATGACAATTTGGCACAGTTATTAGTAGCACATTAACAATCGTGCCCTGAGTCTGCAATTCCAACAGCAATGAGCCACTGACGTCAAAGAAGCATGTAAGCATGACTTTTCAGCTGTCATAAGCCCCGTTCACAAGAGCAGATTCGACCGGTAGCGAAAACCGGTTCTTTCAACGTGTCCCATTCACATGGGACAAGCATTAACTGCCTCGCCGAATTGGAGGTAGAACTTGGTTGAATGATCCTTACCTCTCAGGAGCCGGGCAAATGGGGAGATTTCCCGTACTATACTGCGCAGTTCACTTAATTTTAGTTACTGCTCGCTGGACTGTCAACGAAACAATCGCGCTGACCCCCAAAAATTAGATAGAACTGTACAAGATACGAAAATTATAGACAAATAGAGACAAGGTTATCTGATGCTAGGTATTCCAGAAATATCATTCAAATTTAAACTAAAGGTAAGACAAGTGCATATCGGCTTCAACACGACAAGGGACTCGGTACCTTTTGAATGATTTTAAAAAAAAAATTTAAGCATTTTGATCTACTTTTTATGAATATTATTAAATGGTTTTGTGAGACAAAATAATTTTAAGCTGAAAAAAAGTTTTTGCTAGTAATTTTTTTTTTTTTAATTTAAATTTTTATCCCATGATAGCTTAATTAAATTTATTTTATCAACATAAACACTTCAAAGTTCTGGAATTTTCCACAAAAATACTCGTACAAGTGTTTAGAATATCACTAAGTATAATCAGTAGTTATGCTTCAATCGAATAAGAACGTTAAGCACAACGGAATGCAAAACCCATCTTAACAGAAAGTTAACTCAGAAATATCTCTACTCTCACACTGAACTAACAACTGGCAACTAATAACAACTTATATAGCATAAATAATGTCATAAAAATAGTGTGGTATAATGGGATTATTACTTTGAAACCGATGTTTCGAATTGATGCCCAAGAAGAACCAATATTTTCCATTCTGCTTCATAGCATATCTTTCAAAAAAGTATAAAAAATCATCCAATTAATTTCCTTTATCATTTTTTTAAATGCGAAAAGTTTGTTTTATAAGCTGTGAAAATGACGGAAGTTTGTAACCGATATATTTTTAAATATGAAATTTTAAAAGTAATTGGGGTCAAAAAGGCTAAAAATATAAACGATTTTCAAAAATTCTCCCAAAATATTTTTAAAAACAAATTACGCTAAAAATTTTATTTAATTTTTTTCCTGCACAGTGTGTTATGGTGCAAACTATACTATTCTGAGATTCTCAGTTTATTTGTTAATATTTGCAAAAAGGCGTTTCAACTTTAAATTTGGAAAAAATCTAATCTTCTAAAAATCAAAAGCGTGACACCACATCTACAAGCAGTGTATGTACAAAGTTTGAGTTCTATATCTTATCGGGAAGCAGTTTAAAAATCCATGACCATCTTTTAACCATAGTGACAAGCACCAAGAGTGAACTAAATAACAGCTTATAAAATAATAATAATAATAATTAAAATGCATATATTTTTCAGGAACCATTACGAAAGTTCAGGTCCCAGTTGCGAAAGTACGGATTACAAAATTAACAATAGTAAACAACGTTAAAAATGTGTAAACAGTATTAAAAATCTGCCAATTCGGAGACATGATTGTTCACAGAGGCTTAGGTGTAAAGGGGAAGGAAGACGGTGGTCTTCTGAACGGGTCCTAAAGACGAAACTCTTTCATGTCTCCTTTTTCTCCTCTTGATAACGGTAGTTGTGAGAAAGAGTATTATTGCATGTGAACGGTGCTATAGATGAATGAGCTTTCTTTGGCCGCAGGGATGAAGGGTGTTGCAATTCCATGCTTATACGTTTGATGGCCGGATCAAAGTGATGACACTATGTTTCATTAACAGCAGTAATCCGAGAAACAAAATGTTTCCCCATTTTGTGGTAACAAACAAAGTTACTTATAGAAACAACCATGCAAGAACTCTTTGGCTCCTCTGTCAGATGTTTCGAAACCCACTACATTCAAAACTATTGGTATTGCAACCTTTCATACAGAGTTATGTGAACACTTCTTTTACTCATAGACATTCCATCCACTATCTCGTGAGTGGTGATTCATCGATTATTTCTCAAGATACTATCCATCACTGCAATTGCTCCCTGAGTGAGTGATAATCACATGTGCTAGACCTGGTCGTGCCGTGCCGTCTGTACTGCTTCGGCCTTTATGAAATTCGCAACACCATCTGCATGACTATGTACAATAAACATTTTGCTCGTGATGATAAATTTCTCCAGCATTCACATTTTCAGCCATTAAAAATTGCATTAGTGCTCATTGACAGTGTTTAGAGGCATACATGATACGAATGATACTGTTGACCATGCTCATATGTAATCTCAAAAGTACTTGTCGTAATATGACGATAATAATTATGTGTTTCCAACACTCGGCATAGTCTTGCTCGTGATGATAAATTTCTCCAGCATTCACATTTTCAGCCACTAAAAATTGCATTAGTGCTCGTTGACAGTGTTTAGAGGCATACATGATACGAATGATACTGTTGACCATGCTCATATGTAATCTCAGAAGTACTTGTCGTAATATGACGATAATAATTATGTGTTTCCAACACTCGGCATAGTCTTATTTTTAGGTTAAAAAGATTTTATGGTACATTAATAATTTCTTTCATTCAAAAACTTTTTGTTTATGAATGTTGAAAGCTTTTAAATGTATTATGTTGACAAGGATTTCAGATTTCAAATAAGAAGGAAAATTCAAAATTTTTATTTTAAAATATAACTTTATAAATTAGGCATTGTCTGGTTTTGTCTGACTTGTGCCATATTTAGGCAGTGTCATAATGCCATGTTCATAAAACTTCTGATTTTTGTCAGCAAAAAAATTATTTGAATGAGATTTTGCATCTTCAGTGCAACATTAAAAATTTTACCATTTAAAGAGTTCTGTATGGAATTAAATAAATGGAAATTTGAAGGTGCAAGGCCAGCACTATATGGTGGATTTGACAACACATCTCGCACTATCTCCAATAATTTTTAGTAAGTGTCCAAAGATGTGTGAGGCTTAGCATTAATGTATTAGAAAACAATACCCTTAGGATTTGGTAATTTTGGCAACATTTCTTGAACTGCATTGCTCAGTTTGGTGAGTTGTTGAATGTAGACATTTGAAGTTACTGTTTGATTTCTTGGTAAAAGATGAAAGGGCAAAATTCAAAATATTTTTCAGTTAACATTATTATAAACTATCCACTTTTTATTGACAGTCGTTGTGTTTCAGAAGCGAATCGCAGATGCTAATGCATTGTGTCAAATGAATTTACTTTAAATGATTAGGAACCCATAAATCAAGTTTCTTAACATAGCCAAGCTGTTTTATTTTAATTTTTATTTATTTATTTGGGGGGATGTATGTGTGCGATACATTGAGCTTCTCTGCAGTCTTATTTGTTGTACTGTGATGGTCTGAATCAGTAATGGTCTTGCTGTGGCTCTCATCAACTTTAACTAGATGGTCAGGTCATTTTGCACTTTTTTTAATAGAAAATCACAAGAACAAAGTTTGGCAAACCAATTTTGGCATTGCCTTTCTTTCAAGGCTTCTTCGTCATATATGGCATATTAACTTCTTGTATGCTTGTGATGTGTTCTGCCTTTTCAGAAGTAATACAATAAAATATGTGTTTAAATAAATATGTTTTGTTCTTCCATTTTTACTAACAAACCAAAACATTGTTCTACCTTATTAAACTAATCTGTGCATCTTTCTTGCTAATTAAAGGTTAATGTCCAAACAACAACAAGACAATATAGGTTTAAGTGCTTTTGAATACATTGGCAAAAAAAAAAAAAAAATGTGCTAAGACCATCTATCAACAAAATCTACAATGACTTAGTTGCCAACCTAATATAATAATTTATACTCTTGATGTCACATGTCTTGATTTGCAGTTTATTAACACATTCAAATGTGGTTTGTATAGTTGTATTTTTGTCATAATTTCTGTGACATGGTGATTATAAGTTTTCTGACCGTGAAACTGTAGTGTCATTAGGTTTTTTTGAACAGGGAACATGAGAAATAAAATGTGCCCTTGCTGGCATTCAAACTCTCTGGACCCTCTGATAGTAGCCAGATGTGCTTTCTGATTACACAATGAAAGCATGCCACAGGGGGTAAGGAAAACTTTGCACTGCAATGACAACTGGATCTTATTACTTCTGTATTACTGCAATACTTAGGCAGGAAGTACCTAAATTTGAGAAAAAGAATTATTGTTAAGATTTTACTCAAGCTGTTAAGTTTGACTAGAATTCACAGCCAATATGTGGTGTACATAGGTAGAAGGGACATGCTGCTTCAGATCACATATAGCCTCCCATGACTTTTTATCCTAAGTATGTTGTTATATCTCTTTGAGAGTGGATCAACACCCAACAAAAAGATAATCTCCAAAAATAAATCATATATCCATCTATCATATGGAATCAAACAGCTTCCAGAATAATGAAGAAGATGCATTGTGGTACAAAGGGATTATTTTGAACAATAGCATGTTTTACAACTGAAAACAATTTTATTTTTCAATCATTCCATTTGTCCAGTACATGTCTGAATGCCCGATTATTTAGATTTTCCAAATTTATAATCATTCTTCATCCTATGCTTTGAATCATTGATATGTCTAATTTTATCATTTTCATTGTTCTGCATCATGCACGTTATTCCAGTTTGATAGCGTATTGTTGACTAAATTACGGTTGTTTAATTTTCTTAATTTCATTTAATGAAACTTTCTCTTCTTAGAATGTTCTTATCAAAATCAACGCGGATGGAATGACTGCAGTTGTAGGAGATTTTGGACTAGCAGAAAAAATTCCGGATTCAAGGTAAGTTTCATTCTTATTATTTACTCTTTCATATTTATCTCAATAAAAAACAAAGTAACATGTTGTACAATATTTAAAAGAACATGAAGGTTAAAACTTGCGATTTAGGTGCTTTTGATTAAGGACAAACAATAGGTGGTTAACACATGAATCGTTCAGTTTCAGAAGTAGTTCAAGAACTAGGTTTTTCTTTTTGCATGATATCAAGAGTATGGCAAGAATATATGAATAGCAGAAATAGTAAGTGGGTGAACTGCAAGAGACAAGCAACTGTGAATGATTATGATTATCAGAGACTTGCCTGAAATTGTATGCAGGTAGTGACACCAAAACGTAGCTCAAGTTGTCACACATTTGACTTAAAGGTCTAGTTGAGCACTCAGTTGATGGACTGTGTTGTGCTCATTTCATTGCATAGACTTCAGAAGCAGAAGACCTACAAAAGTATCATTTCTCACTGCATGATCTATAGACCATCTTAGCTGGGCCATCAAAGATTGAAAACAAGTAGCTTGCACCAACTCATTTGGGCTCATTTCTGATTGCATCTCAGTGATGGTAGAATAAGAATATGGTGGCTGTACCAAAAAAATTCACTGCATTCTAAGTCTGTAGATTACTGGATGATCACTTAAATCCCGTAATGCATTTTTCCCATCCAAATAAAATGGAATGCACAAGTAAGACAACTGCTACTGTCATAAATCCTGGTTAGCTACTTGTATACTTAATTTTCTCTACTGAAATGACCACTGAGAAGCCCAAACTGAAATCCCATTGAACACTTTATTTTAGAAATGTGGAAGCAAATCATATGTAGTCAGCCTCGTAAACGTATTTATGAGAAATTGTATGAATGAATTGTATGTAATGAAATCTCTAGAACACTCCACAGATTTGTTGAATCCATGCTTTGTCATGGAGTAGCCATTTTCAAGGCCGAAGGAGTAACATTTGTTAACTAATCGAGTATTCTTAAATATCCCAGTTTATTATTACAGCTATAATTCACCTGTGCCAACCTCAGTTAGTCTTACTATGTTGCTCTGGTTGTTCAATGTTTGTTAATTTTTTCTACCTTTTTTTGTACAGCTACTCTCCTTAAATATGATTCTTTAAGGTTAGCCGGGTAATAAAATGGAATTCATCTGCTTTGCTTTGAGTTAAAGATTGGTTACCCTCTATGGTTTTTCACAAATTAGAGCAACTGTTAATACTACAAATGGATGAAGGTTTTACGCTTTGTATTCTGATCTAATTGGAATGTGGTGAAATAAATATTTCATTGTGTCATTCTAAGATTTATTGTTTTCTTAACCATGTGTTCTCATCCCATTTTATTTGCTTTAACTTATGCAAGTTGGTGAATCATTGCTGGTGGTGCCATCTGTTGAAGTGAATATTATTTACCTTCCAAAATGAAAAATTCGTGTGCTATAATTAAATCTTGGAGTTTTGTTTTGCTTAGTTTTTCCGAGTTTCGAATTCCGCGAACGGGCTGGCTGCATGTGTGTTTTCGTGGTTTCCCTCATGTGTAACGTGTATACAAGCCAGTTTCCCTTAGAAAGTCCTCCACGAAGGCATCCCTCACCTTAGGCAGATAGCCCTCGTGTGCTTTGCGATAATTAAATACACCAACCTTATATTTTATCAGGAATTTTGTATTAATTGTGACTTGTCAGTTAAGTTTTTCACTATTCTGTGCTAATTTCCTCAGAAGCTCCACTTAAGCAGATCCTATTGATGAAAGTGAGCTGGTTTGGGTTTTAAAAAGCAGTTACATTCTTTATATAAGTCCACTGTTTCTTGCATTACTTTGTCAGCTGTTGCTAAACTATAACAAACACTCTTTTTTTAAAAATAAAACAGAAATGCAGTGAAGTTATTTGTCCCTTTCCCTAGAAGGAATAATATTCCCAGTCATATTTGGTGCAGCTTTTGTAGTAGAAAAAACTATTCTAGGGTTTCAATTATACCCGGCTTGCTCTGTTTTTACCACTGAACTTAGTGCAGTTTATTAGGCTCTAACGTTTTAGTTGAAGCAACGTTACAGGAATTTCATTATCTCTACAGATTCCTTGAGTGTTCTAACATCATTCAAAGAACCCAAGTTATAATTCACATCCCAGTATTACCAGAATTCTGAAGCTTAATCAGACTCTAAAATGTCAGGGATATCCGATTCTTTATACTGGATTCCTGGCCATGCTGACATAAAAGGGAATGAACTAGTGGACATTACAGCTAAAACTGCTACTACAATATCTAATTCTAAGGTTTTACTCGTAAATATCAGTACGATGATCAAACATGAAATTTTTAATAAATGACAGAGGCATTGGGATGACCAAACGAATAACAATCTGAGAAATGTTAAACCCACAATTGAATGCTGGCCATCTGAGTTATCTTGGCCCAGTTGAGAATAGGGCATTAACGACTGACTTACAAATATCTGCTGAAAGACAAGAAGACTCCCCATTGCACAAACTGTAATGAAAATCTGACAGTCCGCTATATTTTATTAGAATGTCATAGTTTCAATTATCTTCAAACATTTTAAATGTTTAAAATTGGATTTAAACAACTTAATAGGGAAAAACCATCATCAAAAATTGTTCAAGTTTTTAAAGGATACTAACTTTTATTATTAAATGTAATCTGTTTTTACCTCACCTAAATTGCATAGTAATTGTCGATGTGAAACTTTGTAGTCATTGTTTTTACTCTTTGTTTGGCACAGATAACCTCAAAAGGTTTTGTGCCAGAAACTACAATAAATCAATCAACCCAGTAATATTAGACTTCTTTGTATGTAAATTGCACAATGAATCAGTTTGTTGTATTTTTCTTCATACATGTACTAACTACAGTGGTAAAAATAATTTTATATATAAATTGTTAAATAGGGACAGAAGCCAACGTTTGCCAATAGTTGGCTCACCATATTGGATGGCTCCTGAATGCCTGAAAGGTGAATGGTACAACGAGAAAGTAAGCATTTTTACATTACACAATGTTGTTAATAATTACCATAGTCTGCATATAATCATAGTTATTTTAAAGTAGGCATCTCAAGATTGTTTCTTTCCCTTGTAAATTCTCTTCTAATTATGCTAACATCTGGCACTGAAGATATTTCATATCCTCTAATTCTGTTTTCCATTTTATTTATTTCTTTTAATTGTACACAAAACCAAAATTACTAGAGCAATGAGTTAGTTATTCTACTAACCAAATATTAATTTCAAGTCAACTGATCATCAACTGGTTTTCTGGTAATAAAGAATGATCGAAAGTGTTAATCTCCCCATAGTGTAGAAACATTTATAAGTTACTATATAAAGAAGATGGTAGATCAAACCAAAAAGAATTGATATTGGACAGGTTAACACTTATTATTTGGTTATAACAAAATAACCAGATAATTCTGAATAAAAATAGTAATTTTTTTCTGAATAAAGATTTATAACAAAACAAAAACATAAAATTTCTCCTCTTAACAATTAATATTGTTGCCAGCTCATAAAAATAAATCATTAATATTAAAAAATTAACACTCAACTTGAAAAGAATTACCACATAAAAGCATTTGTATTTTTACAAAATAATATAAATAGAAACATCAAAGTATTAAAAATAAATTATGCATGGAATTTTGCAGTCAATATTATAACTATTAAATTTTATAATAACCATCAACTAGTTAATTTTATTTTTAGTTAATATTGTTAAGAATAATTTTATAAACTATTTAAATGTAACTCCAAATGAGAATTTTATTTTGAAATCAGATTATGTGTATCAAGAAGGCAGGTGCAAATTTAAAATGTGAATTGTCTGATTACACAATCTGCTATCAATTTTAATCATACCAAGCATCAGGAGAAAACTTTAAATGGTATCTTTGATGTATTTAAAAACAATTGGGCATTTGCTGATATGCTCAAAAAGGAGAAGACTTCCAGTGTAGTCTCAAATGAAGTAAGGAAAAGGCTTGCTGTGTATAAATGATGCATGTTATGATCATAAACACAAGAATATTTGAAAATATCATGGTAAAACAAATGCCACATCTTTGCTGGAAGATTGCTTAGTACAGTCAAAAGTCGTTAATCCGGACTCGTCGGGACTTCAGCGATTCTGGATTATAGATCATCAGTTTAAATCTGGTAAGATGGCATGCAGAAATTATAAAATTAAAAATATGAACTGTAATTTATGAAATAAAGAACAATTATGATCTAAAGGGTATCAAAATTTACAAAAAAAAAAAAGCTTAATATTTATTTGTTTACTTTATTAAACATCAATGTAAGTTGTTTAAGTTGCTTTGTTTTATGTGATAATACTTTCTCTTTAATTCTATAAACAGACATAATTTCATGTTCAGTTACAAAGTTCCGCTGTTCAATTCCTATAATTGCTGTGTCGAGAATTCCGACTAATTTGTCAATCGAAATTTTTTCGTTTTCAATAACCTCTGTGTCACTTTCTTCACTATCGGAAGCGAATTATAATGACGAGGAATTTGATTTAAATCATATCAAAGACGGAGTACATCAAGATGAAATACTGCATTTAGTAAGGAATTATAAGCCAAATAAAATAGAAACATCTGCCCTGAAGATAAGGATAGTGCTGACAGATTAACTTCCAATTCATTGCGTGCCACGGCATTCACCCCCCCCCCCCCCCCCGCATAGCAGCGTGAAATTGATAAACAGATTTCGGAATGGTTAGAGAAACAAAGGATGTGCCTTTATTCATTTTTTGAAGCAATTCCACTTTTTGTTTGATGGACATCGAAATATACTTTCGCTTTGTAGATCCTTTGGGAGCTCCAGCATCGGAAATTCTATTTGACATAATCGAAAGTTCAAGCTTACTTTTATAAAATTGCTCTAAGAGTCTGCAAAAAATAATAAGCCGGATCCAATTCGAAGATTAAGGAACAACGCAGTCTGCAAAAATTAACTGAAATATATAATTAGATAATTTTAGCTTATACCCTCCATTATACACTTAACGCGCATGCGTAAACGTAATATGCGCATACGCACACGCATATGCGCAGCCGTAAAGGTCTTACACGCAAGCGTAAACGTCAACGCGACGCATGCGCAAAAAAATTTGTAGCTTTGAGGTCCGGATTATGGGTGTCTGAATTAACGACTTTTGACTGTATATGGATTGTAGATATGTTCTTTTTTTTTTTAGTATTAAACAATGTTACTAAATTCACATTTTAATTTACAGGCTGATGTATTTTCTTATGGTATAATACTTTGTGAAGTTATTGCAAGAGTGGAAGCTGATCCAGATATTTTACCGAGAACTGAGGTAATTATGTTTGGCAAGATTTTTAAAATGGACATATAAAAGCAGTTTTATTTAGAAGTGTTATAATTTAGTCTAGAAAATGCAATAGATTTCTTCCCTAATGTCCCCCCTCCTTATGGAAATATTTTGTTCCAATGTATTTTTTAAATTTTATTTTGTTGTAAATGTGTATACCAAGAAATTTAAAAGTAATTTGTTTTTCATAATGATTTAAAACTTTCCTTTGTAGTTTATAAGCTTAGAATAGTTGAAGTTTTCTGTAACAGAACATTATAGCATTTTAGGCTACTTCATATTTATTTTGAAGTTTGTTTTGTATAGGGATTCATAATCTGTGCAGCAAATAAGCTATGAACTTTAGATTTTTAATCCTCCCTTTACCCTGTTGAAATAATGATTCTAATATTTTTAAATCACTTGCTGCAAAAGAAATTAAACAAATTTTGTAGAAATTCAAGTAATTGTAGTATGTATTAATAATTATATGCTAGTATATGTGTTACCTTTAAGAATATTATGAAAATAGACTCTTAACATATATTGGTGACAGTATCATTAATTTAAGAATGTAAATTAAGGCTAATACAAAAAAAATTTTGGTCTCTAGAAATAGTTTTATTATTAATCATATTAACTGTAAAAAAAAAAAAAAAAAAAAAAAAAGCACATTTAGATTCAGCCATTGAATAAGTTATATTTCTCTGTGAGCAGTCTCGCACAAAATACAGGAATACCTTTTATTTATAGTTTTAACAGAAAAAAGTCTAAAGAAAAATTGGACTCAATATAGAATTTCATTATTTAATTTTTAAAGGCCGTCGGCACTAGTTATATAAAAATATTAGAAAATCCTCAGGAGAGAAAGTTATAAAATTTGTAACTCCTGAGTCATTTAATCTTTGGTGCATATTATAATTGCTGTTATTATGCTACTCTTAAACATATAATAGTGTGGTACAGTAGGATGCATGTATTTTAAAAGTTTGTTTTCAACTTAATTAGTTTACAATAAAAAATATACTATTAGAATTTAAATGGTGAATTATTTTTCTTATGCCATTTGGAATGACAACTAGCAAAATTGAAATATTGCAAGATTTTAAGAAGTATATCTTTGGATGTGTTGCTTGATGTTTTATATGTAAAGTTTTATGCAGCTAGAGTATTTATTATTTTTGGTGCACATAAGTTTATATTTGATGTGATTAAACATATAGGTGTCATCTAAGTATTTTTTGAGAAAATAAAATTAAAATATATTTAGAATAAATTGACTTTACTTTTTTTTAGAATTTTGGTGTAGATTATGTTGCTTTTAGTGACATGTGTCCTGATTGTCCACCCCATTTTCTGGAATTAGCTTTCAGCTGTTGTCGAGTAAGTTGTTGGATGTTTGTTCATTTATTTGTATTAATGTAAAAAATGTATGCCTAATTTAAGAAAAAAGTTTAACTGTTACTTACAGAAAAGAAATTTAACTGTGTCATAAAGAAAAGCATTTGTGTTTGATAAAAGTGCAGCGGCAGCACCAAACAGGCGATACAGACTTAAAAACTGTACAGAAAAGCGCCAATTGGCGAAACGGTAAACCCGTTTGGCAAACCTGCAGGCTCACGGGGAGAGAAGAATTTTCCCCGGCAGTCAAGTGGAACTACTTCAACAAATGTGTGCGTCTCTGCTTCGCCGAGATATGTGAACTTGTGTACTCGCATCTGTACTGTGCTCTGAATTTTCTTAAGCCGTTATAATGTACCCGGCAACTGTTACTTTTCCTTATTAAATTTGATTATTAATCGTAACATGTCTATCTTATCTAAGATTTCGGCTTTCCTACTTAATGTTAGGGATATTTTCGTATGCACGTGTTACTCACACGTACATCATTGGTGACCCTGTCCCTCGCTCCTTCTGTTTCGATCCCTAATGACTATCTGTCTCAATCTTTGTTAAAAACCTAAAATATGCCTTATTTTGATGCCAATGCTCTTCCTTATGACTGATAAAGGCTCCACTCTATTTATTTCCTCCTCATTTTATCGTACGGATTACATGTGGTTTATCACACTTAAGGAGGATTTACAGGTATGTGGTCAAATTTTTTTAATTATCTGTGATTGGTCTTAATTATGTTTTTGTGATATGTTTTGCTCTAAAATTATAGTTTTAATTTAATTATTGATTGTTTAAAATTGATCTTTGGGTAATATTTGTGCTCACACTTTTATTGAGATATTGAAATTGATACTGTTTTGATAAGGTATAGTGCAAAACATTAAGTTTACGATTTACGATATATTTATAATTGGCAACCATGCCAGGATCGGAAGGCCAAACCAACGAGGAAGCGAATATGGCGGTTCAGGAGCCACAAATCTCGCACGTGGCAGTTAAAATTCCCCCTTTATGGAAAAAAAATGTTAAACTTTGGTTTATTCAAGTTGAAAGTAACTTTGCTTTAGCGAAGATTAGTAGCGATAGTACAAAATACAACCACGTGGTTTCTTCTTCGATAGACCCTGAAACTCTTTCCGCAGTATCAGATATTTTATTTAATCCCCCAGCGACGGCTAAATATGATGCCCTTAAAGCTAGGTTAATAGGAGAATTCTCAGGATTCGGAAAGCGAGCAAATACGCAGACTTATTTCTGAATTGCATTTAGGGGACGACAAACCATCTCACTTATTGAGAAAAATGAGAGAATTAGGTGGAAAACTGTATAACTGACGAATTTTTAAAATCATTATGGCTGCAAAGGTTACCTTCCTAGGTGCGCATGCCAATTTTATCAATAAGTTCTGAGAATCCTTAGACAATTTAGCAAAAATGGCTGATAAGATAGCTGAAGTGCGCACGCCAACGAACAACAGCGTGTTCGCGGTCCAGGCAGCTTCGGCGAGTTCCCCCAGAAACCCTAACGATTCTGGTGCCCTCCCCCTCGAGGAGCTTAAGGCCTTAAGGAGTGAAATCTCTGCCCTAAGTAAACAAGTCGAGCGACTCTCCCGCGAAAAAACAAAAACGAGGAATAATTTCCCCCGGGATCAACATAACAAAGCACGTAGTTTTTTCGCGTGGGCATTCCCGAGAGCGTGTGAACAATTATTGTTATTTTCATTCGCGATTCGGTAATAATGCACGAAAATGTCGAGCACCTTGTTCCTTTTCTCAGAACACTACGGCCCAGGAAAACTAGTAGTAGCGGCTGTCGATCGAAATTCATCGGCAGTCGCGCATTCATGTCGTTTACATGTTTACGATAACAGATTAAATTTAAACTTTTTGATTGATTCGGGCTCGGATGTTTCATATGTGACACCGACTTCTAAGTTTAGGAAAATGCATCCTGATTCGCTTCAATTATTTGCCGCGAATAATTCCAGAATTTCTACGTATGGAACAAAATTGTTAACTGTGAGTTTAGGACTTAGACGAAACTTTTCTTGGAAGTTTTTAATCACCGATGTACCAGTGCCTATAATAGGAGCCGACTTTTTAAGGCATTTTGATCTTTTAATCGATTTAAAACGAGGTAGGCTTATCGATAATACTACGAAATTAACTCGTATTGGTTCTCTTTCCGATTCTAAAAATTATTTTTCGGTAAAGTTAATATCTGGTGATTCACCATATCACAGAATCTTGAAAGACTTTCCTAAAGTACTGAAGTTAAAATCCGATTCGTGTAGAGTAAAACATAGTACGGTTCATTACATCGAAACAAACGGTCCTCCTGTGCACAGTAAACCGCGTAGGTTAAGCCCTAAGTTATACGAAGCAGTAAAAAAAAAAAATAATTTCAATTTATGATAGATCAAGGTATTTGTAGACCATCAAAATCAGCATGGTCATCACCTCTTCATGTAGTTTCTAAAAGTTCGGGCGGGGCGACATACGGCCAGTAGGAGACTACCGAAAACTAAACGCGTGCACCGAACCCGACAGATACCCTATCCCGCATTTACAAGACTTTAATAATACGCTTAGCGGAAAGACAATTTTTTTCAAAAATTGATATCGTTCGGGCATATCATCATATACCAGTCCATCCAGATCATATACCGAAAACTGCAGTTTGCACCCCATTTGGTCTTTCGAATTTCCGTTTTTAAATTTCGGACTGTGCGGAGCAGCTCAAACCTTTCAAAGGTTTATGAACGAAATTCTTGGAGATCTAAAATTCGCCTACGTCTACTTAGATGATATTTTGATATTTAGTGATACGGAAGATGAGCATAAATCTCACCTACGTACTGTTTTTGAAAGATTAACTTCATATGGATTGACAATTAACGCTTCGAAATGTGTTTTCGGCGTTCCGGAAATATCTTTTTAGGCCATATAATCAATAAAGATGGTACCAAGCCTCTGACGAACAAAGTGGAACCGATACTTACTTAACTACCCACTTCCTAAAACGGTAAAAGATTTGCAGAGATTTTTAGGATTTTTAAATTTTTACCCAACGTAGCCCAGAATCAAATACATTTAACTTCGTATTTAAAAGGGGCTAAGAAAAATGATAAGACAATCCTGAATTTGTCTGAGGAAGCGCGGAGTGAATTTCAAAAGTGCAAACAGCTAATCGCTAATGCTGTTCTTTTGGCACACCCGAAGAAAGATGCCCAGTTGGTTTTACAGGTTGATGCGTCAGACTTCGCGATCGGTGGAACGCTATCACAAATAGTTGATAGGAAATTTACAGCCTCTCGCATTTTTCTCACGAAAGCTTTCGCAGGCGGAAAGGAACTATAGTGCGTATGATCGAGAGCTATTGGCAGCTTATGCTGCTATTAGGCATTTTAAGCATATGTTGGAAGCACGGAACTTTTCTTTAATCACCGATCACAAACCGCTCACGTATGCATTCCGACAGCGTTTGGATAAGTGTTCACCTCGTCCGGCTAGGCAGTTAGACTTTATCTCACAATTCACCACTGAAATTCGCCATATAAAAGGTTCGGAGAATATCGCTGCCGACGTACTTTCGCGTATAGAAGCAATAAGCATGCTAACCCTATCGACTATGAGGAAATCGCTAAAATGCAAGAAATCGACACCAGAATTACAAACATTGCTTAAAGAGTCAAAAGTTCTACATCTCAAAAAAGTTACCTTACCGAATTGTAGCTTTTCGATATATTGCGATGTGTCAACAGGTAACGCCCCGTCCTTACATTCCTCCGGCATTCCGTGAGAAAGTTTTTGCCACCTTGCACAAATTGTCTCACCCCGGCATTCGCGCATCAACAAAGTTAGTATGTTCACGGTTTGTTTGGTCTTCCATCCGCAAAGATTGCGCGAAATGGGCACGGCAGTGCATTCCGTGCCAGAAAGCAAAATTAAGCAGGCATACTAGAACCCCGTTAATGAAGTTTCCAGACCAATCACAGAGGTTTGATCACGTCCACCTTGACCTTGTTGGTCCCCTACCTCCTTCTCAAAATAATTATTACTGTCTAACTATGATAGATAGATTTACTAGATGGCCCGAAGCAGTACCCATACCAGACATAACAGCACGCACAGTAGCACAGGCTTTCTATGACCATTGGATTACTCGATTTGGTTGTTCGACTGTTATTACTACCGACCAAGGGCGACAGTTTGAAAGCGGCTTATTTCGAGCCCTTTCCCAATTATTGGGAATCAAGAGGATCAGGACGTCTCCATACCACCCACAGGCAAATGGACTGATCGAGGAATTCCACCGTCCTTTAAAAGCGCACGATACCAGTGACTGGGTGGCTGCCCTTCCAACGCTGCTCATGGGTTTCCGCGTCGCCCTCAAAGAGGACATAGGAGCAACCACTTCTGAACTGGTGTATGGAAAGGCTATCCGTCTCCCAGGAGAATTTTTCAATCCGACACCTCCGGATGCGTCCCCCAAACAGTTTGTGGAGGATTTAAAATCTCACTTTGCCAGTGTCCGCCCGACCACGACTTCTAGCCACGGCCAGCGAACATGTTTCATTCATCCACGCCTTCACAAGTCCACATATGTGTTTGTTCGACACGACGGAGTTAGAAAACCACTTCAAACTCCTTATGATGGACCATTTAAGGTGCTAGAAAGACAAGATTTATTTTGATCTCGAAATAAAAGGGACTAAGCAAATGATCTCCATAGATAGACTGAAACTCGCTTTTGTAACCATGGACTCTTCTCAAGTTGCTTCCAAGAGTGTGAAAAAAACTTCGGACAATTGTATCACCCGTTCTGGACGATTAATCCGACCCCCACATCGGTATGTCACATTTCGTTGACACTGCGGAGGGAGTATGCAGCGGCAGCGCCAAACAGGCGATACGGACTTAAAAACTGTACAGAAAAGCGCCAATTGGCGAAACAGTAAACCCATTTGGCAAACCTGCAGGCTGACGGGGAGAGAATTTTCCCCGGTAGTCAAGTGGAACTACTTCAACAAATGTGTGCGTCTCTGCTTCGCCGAGATATGTGAACTTGTGTACTCGCATCTGTACTGTGCTCTGAATTTCTTAAGCTGTTATAATGTACCCGGCAACTGTTACTTTTCCTTATTAAATTTGATTATTAATTGTAACATGTCTATCTTAACTAAGATTTCGACTTTCCTAGTTAATGTTGGGGATATTTTCGTATGCACGTGTTACTCACACGTACATCAAAAGTTACCGTACTGGATTATGAAGTAAGGTTTAAAAAGCACTGAACATCTCATTGAATATGAATACTACATTTTTTAGCTTGAGTCTTATGCTTTTTTATGCACTATTGGAAAAAATTACTTAATTTTTTAACAAGAACATAATACGCAAGAAAGCCCCTGGTTCTCAAAAGAATCAAATAAGTGAATATGTGGAATTTGCTACAGTATAAATTGCATGGGAATGAGAATGGGGACTCTAGGGATAAGATTAAACAAAATCAGAGAGATTATAAAGAAAATTGGATCAATTATTTAATTGTTTTATTTTGCAACATAACTCAGACTTTCATGACAATGACCAGGAAAAGTTCAAAAAATAAATCATAAAATATATCAGAAACTTCAGTTTGTTCAATTTGTTTCAGCTAAATACATTGCTAAACATTGTTCAACATTAATAAACAATAATCAGCTGACTGCATCCATGCCACATATATTTTTTCTTTGCATTTTCGTATATGAGATATATACTTATAGAAGATGTGTTGTATTATTCAAGTGACTTTATCGTAAAAAATTTTCTTTCTTAAATTATAAAAAAAAGGAAGGTGAGCAGTCTTTACAGAGATGTTTTGGACTCAGAAATACTCCTCAATTATAAACGTACTATCTTAGTTTTTATTACTTATGATTCATTGGTGAAAAAGTGTTTATGATAATGTATCTAAAGTATTTTATTTTTTATTACATACTTGTGAAATGCTTTTAAAAAGGCAAGTTTGATGCTTAACAGGATCTGCATTTTCCGTCCTTGAATAATTGATTTCTCTAATTTGTACTCTTTTTTTAATTAACAGATAAATCCAGACAGCCGTCCATGTTTTAAAGATGTAGTACATCAGCTAGAAAAGTTATTGAACATAATCAGTTCTATGTCTGGAGGCTCTCATTTGTTTTATCCACCAGTTGTTTACACTTCCTGTTGGGATGATGGTGACAATATTGACAGTGTTAGAGCTATATGTGAGTTAATTCATTGAAATAATTTTAATCTTGCATTTATTATAATTTTTCTTTTTAAATTTTGAAAACTTCAATTTTTAGAGTATTCATAAGTTTTAGATATATCCAGTGACTATTATTTTTAATTCCAAATTTTTAATGAAGGGAATCTGTTGGACGCCCTCCTAAAAACACACTTTAACTGTTATTTTTAAGAAATCTTTCCCTATCTGCTGCCAGTGTAAATAAGCTTGTTCCACAGAATGAAAACAAAGCAATGACATGATGAATTTAAATTGAAACTCGACATCTGGAAAGTTATAAATTCTTTACAGATGTTAACCACATAAATTCAAAATTAATTAAGAAAGAAATATATGCCCAAAAGTAATGTTTAATTGAACAAAAATATTTGAAGAGATTCATAATGTGCATTTAAAGTACAGTACTGACACATATGCAGAATTTTAAAAAAAAAATCCATTTCTATAATCAAAATAAAATTTAGTGTATTTTAAAAAATATATAAAATATATATATATATATATATTTTGAAGTGTTTATACTAACCTTTTCAAAAAACAAACTTGCTCACATTTAAAACTAAGCATGGATTATATAGGTGACAAGCTAGATAGATTACATGGCTTGTAATCCACATCTGTGGATTGGTTGCAGATTATTATACATTACCATACATTTGTTTATGTATTTTATTATAACCAAGACTTAAAACAATTTCACATAGGACTCTAAAACTGAGAAATTTTCTTTAAATAAATCAAAAATTTCAGTTCTAGTATTTCTTGTTACCAGTGTATTATTAATTAAACTGCATATTCGAGGAATGTAATAATAGAATCAACATAGAAATTCAGATTTGGAAAAAATTACTTCCTGGGTTTAAGCAGTGTATTGATTTATCTGTTTCCCTATCATTTTAAAGTATAAAAATTACTTTGAAAGCAACTTCGATGATTGATATAGTGTATATTTTTAAGCCAGGATTTTGGTCAGGGGGGATTGAGATTATGAAAATTTATATTGCCATGACGCCTCCAAATTTTACTCCAGTAAAGATGTTTTCTTAATTTATAATCATAAATTCGTATATCAGATGCTTTACCAAACTGCAAAAATTCTAAGTGATAAAGGCCTGATCATAATTATGATATGGATGTAGAAAATAGTATCAGATTTTGTTTATTATTAAGTGTTACTATAAAATACATTGACATTAAACTAAACAAGTTAGAAAATGGCATCAAAATATAATTTTCAAACTGCAACCTTTTTGACATAACTTACTGAACACTTCATTAAAATTTATGTATATTCAAGAGTGCCAAAACGATACATCTGTTCCTCCCTGTTGCATTCCTTAAATATGTCTTCAATCATCTTAAAGTATTGTTGTCGCTAGTATTACTGCATCTTTATTTCTTTGTTACATATACAACTGTTCTAAACATAGGAATGTAGTCGAAGTTGCATAAAGAAAGTACGATAGTACAAAATACTTCAAAATTAGCACTAAGTGCTAAATTTTAAATGATTTGAATTGGAACGAAGCTTATTTTAGCTGTTCTAGTTAATCAATTTTGTTTGAAGCTTCAAAACACTTTTCCATTGACAAGTTCTGTTTTGAATCTCCAAACAAAAGAGATTAATATATTTGTGTATATTACTAGTTTACCATTTTTTGTTGTTCTACTTTTTAGTACTTAAAACATTTATGTTCCCTTTTAGTTTTTGTTTAGTGATGTTTAATTCTGATGTATTTTGGAAACAAAGCTAGGTAGAATTCAGACATCCTTAACTGCTTAGTTGGATATTCATTTGTTCTAAACATAAACATATTTTTACAATTTTGGATTGCCAGATTCCAAAATTCAGTGAAACTCAAAACATCATGACTTGCATCATGATCAGCATTGTCTTTTGAGAGGCTGGGACATCCTCCCCACCCTGGCCAACTTCAAGAAGTATGACCAGCTGCACTGGTTGTATCACGTTTTGTGATCAACACACATCTTATGCATTTTCGATCGCGGTCCTCAATTACCCTTTCAACAAGTGCTCTTTTCCACGTTTCCTGAGCAAGAGATGTCCTTTAGCTAGTAAGCATAGGCAGAGAAAGAGAGGGTAGTTGGATTGCAGTGGTATATATAGTAAAATGTTTGATTAATCTGATTGGCTAAAACTTACAGGCAATGCAGAAGTTTAAGATGTCATAATGCAGAATTACTTTTAAGATATGACGTAGTTTTGAGAAAGCTATTACTAGAGAGGAAGTATCCCAAATTAAAAATGAGCAGTTAGAGGCCATTTTAAATTATAATTTTTATTTACATATTTTTATCTTCCACATATATGTGTGTGTGTCTGTTAAATAATTTGATGTATTTTTATTAGTTTCCCTTCTAATTTTTCATAGGAAAACTTCCCTATTCAATAAATCTTTATTAAATAATTTTCAAGAGGTTTGTTTATTTTTGTTTTATTACATATGAGCAAAGGAAACAAAACTCTGATATGACTATACCGAAGATATGACTCTAATTTGCATATCCCATAGTCCTAAAGCATGCAAAGTATTAGAATTCTCTTATATTCATATTATATTTTAAAGCAGATACTGTTTCAGATGCAACAACATTTGTTGAAAAATGTTATAGAAATAAAATACATATTAAAATGCTCCTCAAAGATTATATAGTTTTAAGTTTTAGTAGCTAGACACTAAGATACAATTATATTTAATTTACTCAAGATCTGCCAGAAGCTAGATGTTAAGAAATTGTAAAATAAAATAAAAAAAATATAATATAATAAAAAATTTCTCTAAGTGGCATGAGTGCTCATGAAAACCTCAGGATTCATACAGTCCTTAAAAAGTCCTTAAAAGTCCTTAAATTTTTTTAATCGATTTTTGGTCCTTAAAAGTTCTTAATTTCAGCCAAAATCGTCAGAAGGTCCTTAATTTTAATAATCTGAAATTTCGGTCTTGTTTTTACAGCTGCTATTTTGAGTGTGAATTATCATTTTGGACGACTATTTTTGGTGATTCACTGATGAATATGATTATCTTTGAATGAGTTCATAGGTTAAAATTTGTTCCTATTTCAAATATAAAGGGTGGGGTACTTGGATTTTCTGATTAAGAAGTGAAACATAAGCATTTCAAAATTATATTTTTTTCTAATGAAGAGCTCTTAAACAACTTTCCGCTTTTGTGGATGTGAATTCTTGTATAAAATGGCTCGAAATTTGGTGACTTATCAGCATTTCGTCGATTTTAATACCACTTTCTATAGAAAATTTTTAATTCGGAGATCTGGGAATTTTTCATCGATTTTTTTTTAAAAAAACAATACAACATTGATGAATTTAACTAAATTAATGGTTATATATTGAAATTATATTTAGGAAATAAAATTAAAATAGAACATTTATATTTTTTTGCTGTCATATTATGAAGAGACATTACTTTCCGTTTTGGCGACATATTATACAGTATTTTGAATATGAAAAATAAACTAGATAATAAATGTTATAAAGCACAGTTTACAAAACAATTCATAGCAAAAGCAAAATATCTATGTAATTAATTAAAAATTTCTTCGTTTCAATTTTTTCATGGTAAAGAGTTTTCCCATGTAACTGTTTCAGAATATTCAGAATTATTAGAATATGCATCAGTTTTCTCTATAAAATTAATTTCACACTTTTTTCCAATGATTTTTTTTTTTTTTTCTCAAACTATTTCTGGTCTTTTTTTATATTACAGAATTGGTAGGGCTAATTTTTCTTTAGGATTTTAGACATTGCAACTTAGAAAGATTTGAAGACAAGATTTACAGACCCACAATTCTAGAAGGCTCCATTAAAATGTGACAAAATAAAAAATATCTTCGTTGTTTTAAAACATAATGTATTTTACAAAAATATGCATTTATATTAATATGGATGTATTTTACAAAAATTTTATGATGAATTTCATACATTGTGAAGAATTTTTGGAAAGATCCTGAAAATATAATGTTTGAATGTTGTACTTCTGATGCTAGAAGTCTCTTTCTTAACCTGTTTATCTTCTCTGTATTTTCTCAACTTTTCACTAGATACAAGCATCGAAAATACCAAAAATGTTTCTAATCTTTTCGCCTGGAGAGTCATTTATAAAAAAAAAAAAAAGATTTTTTTTTATTAATAAAGAATTGAAAACTGACAATTTAAAAGATTCACCTTATACGTCTCGGTGGATCATACACAGGGCTGCCGCTGGGCTTTTTCCCACCTGATGAAATCTCTGTAGGTTCCTAAATTCTGCTGCCTAGTGCCTTAATAAATTCTGCTGCTTAATGCTCTCCTCAAATTCTGCTTCCAGTCCCTGTCCCTAAATTCTAAAAGTTTTGCCATTTCTAGATTTTGTTTCTCGGCGTGTCACTAAAATCTAAATAATTCTGCCTCATCGGCTCAAACCAGCCCTTACCACATATCACTTCATATTTATTCTGAGTGTTCATATTACTAAAGAAATAAAATTAGCAGCTTTTCCTTTATATTTCTAAAGCATTTTGTTTTTTAGAATAACAGAAATCTTTAATTCCAAAAATTCTGAAGTGAAGAGGAAACATATTGAAAGAAACTGAATACATATGCAAATTAATCAGTTCTTTACAATTTTAGCGTTTACTATAGCTTTCCCTTTCCATTTCTTCACCATAATGCAAATCAGATAGTTTTTAAACTGAGATTTTTGGATTGTAAGACAAAAAGTTTTCGCCCTCCACTTGGATGTTGCCTTAGTTCCTGCTACATCTGATAATTTGTAATTATTCATCTTTGTATTACCATTGCTAATATTTGAATTTGTTAGTACAATACAGTTACTGAGTCACCTTAGATTAAATTTAAATTGCATAGTCTATGAATACTAGTCCACATTTTTAGTTTAAATTTGGCTGTTCCTGTTTACTTGCATCACCAAAAGCTGTAGTTTATTTTGTCAACATAACATAAGAATGTGCCTGTATGTTCCAAAATCTCTTTAAATAAGAGGTATATTTAAATCTTTATGTAGTTACCTTTAGACATAATGATAATTTGCTTTATGTCTATCAGAGGTTTTGGATTATTTAACTTTTACCAGATCACATAAAACTTCATTAGGTACTCTGTTGAGAGACTACAAGTTAGGAGATAAAGCTTATAAAAACTAGTGGGAACATTGGTTTGTGTATTGAAACAGATTTCTAATTGTTAGAAAGGTGTTTAAAGAGAAGAAAATTGATATAAATTAGCCAAAATGTCTAGGAACACTTCGAATTAAAAAGATTCATAAATATTTTGTTTTGTAACTTTTAATGTGTAAATTATCCTAATACTGTTTAAGAATCAGTGTCATAAATATCATGTATTTTAAACTGTGAAATGTTATTAGATTGTGATTTTAATAATGGTCATGTAAATCTATAACGACTGAGAGTATTCAACTATCTAATTATTTATAACTAACTGCTCATCTTTAAAAGTTATCTAGCAAGTTATTGCTTTTAAATAATCATTACTGTGGGCACAAGATATGGCACGAAAATGTAAAAACTATTGTAAACTTATTCTTTGTATCTAGTGAGACTTAAAATAATACAAAACAACTTATCACCTCTGCTATATGAGTGGCTTATTGGAATCTTAAAATATATTAACCAGGTTACAATCCCAGAAACTATATGAAGGTACAACACTTGTAGAGACATCAGAATTTTTTTTTTAAACAGGAACAAATGAAAAAGCGCCTTCACCGAGAATTGAACCGCAGACCTCTGGAATACGCGCCCAGCGTGCAGACCACCATACCACGAAGGCATGCCAAGAAGGCAGTAGAAATCCCTTATATACTCCCCCTTTTAAAAGGCGACTGGGTTTTAGGAACCCAATTGCCAAATCCTGAGTGAGGAGAATCATCATCCACCACCCTTTTAGTTTCGGGCGCCTCCTGTAGAGAACATTAGGTAGTTTTTTGGAAGCAGGAAAGATGAAAAATATGCAAAGCCTTCGCCAGAAATCAAACCATGGACCTCTCAAATACGAGCCGAGTGTGCAGACCACCACACCACGAAGACATGCCAAGAAATGCAGGAAGAAATACCTTATACACTAATTGCTTCAGACAGACGAAGCACAAATAACTTCCAAAACTTGCCAGCCATGCCTCCAACAGGCTTTCAGGTTTTTTTCTGATCAACAGATCTCTCTCTCGGCAAGCAGTAGCACTAGCAACAGCTAATCTTCTGTTACAAATCATGCTGGTTAATTTAATTTATTTCTCATTTTAACCTATGCCATTTGACATAAAATTTACTAAACCTCTATACTGAGTAAGTACATGGCAAAATGAGACATAAAAGAAAAAATCAGCATAAAGTTGTTAATGAAATGTAAATGAAATGTCCCCAAACTTCTTTCAAATATGTCCAACTATTATACGTGTAAAATATTTAATGCTATTTGATAAATTTTATAATGTGGATTTCATTCTCAAATTTGTTTTAAAGTTATGTTTAATAAGAATGCATCCTACTTAGGAATCTATTTTATTCTTAGAATGTTATTACAAAAGTGAAATTCAGATATAAGCTAATTGAATTGAATTTTTTAGCTCCTATTGGCTGATAGGTCCTTAATTTTTTTCATTAATAGTCCTTAAAAGTACTTAATTTCCATGTGCAGAAATGTGTACGAACCTGAAACCTGTATTTTAGTATTTTATGACAGAAATATCTCCTGACTGGATAAATGAGCTCATGCCACTTTGAGTTAATATGAAATTTTAAAATGCGCAAAACTCAATTTAAACTGATTGATTTTATATGAAAATTCTGTGCATTTCAGGGATAACTACAGGATCCACTTTCTTCATTCTATAAGTAGATTATTTTTGCTCTTTGATCTATGTAAAATGTTTTGCAGAATATTTCTTCTCTTTGAGAAAGAAGGACCATGCGTCTCTCTCTTTCAGAAGTCGCTGAATTTTTTTTATAGATAATTTTTTACTTCTTGAACAAGATCCAAATATTTTTAAACAGCATCAGTTTAAAGTTGAATAATGCCTAATTTGAATTGGCAGTTTACTGCTAGTTTGGCACTGATTCTTTGACCAATTTGTATATCTTGCTAATATTATTAATTATATAATAGTAATTTTTAAGGAATTTTTTTACCTCCTTATGGAAAGCATATCCAGTTAGCATCAAAAGGTCTGGAGTTCGAGGCCTTGCTAGGGCATTGCTGATTTGCTCAGGTTCCCTGTTCCTAAAATTTTTAAATGGTCTCTACAATGGCAGAACTTAAGTATTATGCACTTATGTATTTTGGTTCAGTTTGTACCATCTGTGTTACCTTAAAAATTATGAATTAAAGTGTCCCTCTTTTTCTTTCGGGGGGGGGGGGAGCAGTACATGCTCTTTCTCCATAGTTTGGCAAATGGAAAATGTCTCTGAAAGAATTCTAATTTAAGTACATAGATGCGCAAGACAAATTGGGTATGATAATATGAAGGTGATAATATCAGCTGTTGTAAAATTCCTCATTTATATGTTTAAAAGTACATTTCAGGAATTAAATTGTCATGCACATCATAGTTGGCCAGTCATTCTTAAGAATAAAATAACTCATCCATGGATGAATATACAGTTGGTAACTATAATTCAGTTGTAACTGCTGATGAATCCAGCATGGAGGATGAATGAAAGAGGAAAGAGAGCAAAAAAGGATGAAACAGGATGCTGTTTAAACTCCAGCTGAAGAAATGGGGAGGCCATTTACAGAAGCTCTGATAAGGCTTGCTTATTAAATAGGCTCAAAATTTGTAGGTCTTGGATGCCAGTTTTAATGGGGATCGAATCTAACTTAGTCAGCTTAACTTCTCACAAATCTGTTTTTCCCTCTCCATCATGAAAACTAGGAAAGTTAATGTAGGAGGCTCCAGAAAACCCAGACCAAATTTTCGATTTTTCTTAATCAGACCTTGTCAAGAGAGCTGTATAAGCCTAATTTTAAGATTGTGTTTTCAGTTTTCATTATTTGGTATGTTGAAAAGGTATAAGTTTCAAAACATAAGAAAGGTCTTAATTAAAAAGTCTGCATTAGAAGCATTAATTATGCAGGGTTTCTGTATAAAAAAAAAAAAAAAAAAACTGTAGTACAGATATTGTGATGACTGTAAAATAGACTTTCTGAACTATGCCAATTTAAGTCATGACAGCTTTTGGTAAAAAGTATAAGAAATTGGGATCTGGTTACCATGTAGGCTCATAAATCTGAAATTTCTGATATCATTTGCATCAGAGGAACACTAACATAAATAATTTGCAGCGATGTTAAGAGTTATAAGTTTTGGTTTAGCAAAATTTTTGTAAAGTTTGATTTTATTATTCTCTTAATGAAGAATCGCCAGTACCTTAGAAGTTTGTTTTATATGATTTATTAGTTATATTAGAATCCTGGATCTACAAATCAGCTTTTCAAAGAAATATTTAGCTATTAAATCTTTTTTAGATATCCCCTCTAACATAATTGTATGTTTTTAAAAATATCTGGCATAAACATAGTTATATTTTAAAGTAATGAATAATCCATATGTTATGTGATTTTTTTTTATATTATGTGGCTGACTCTTATGTATCGTATTTTAACCTTCTGCTTTAATTTATGTAAATCTTTAATGTGTTTGCTTGCAGTTGCTCACGGTTGGACTCGGTCCAGTCCCACTCAAAACAAAGTCAAAACTAAAAACTGTGCAACTCCAACTAAAGTTTCAAATTCTGATTTTCGAAGACCTCCTGTCACCCCAAAGCATGTTGGAGAAGCAATGTCAATGCAAGATCCTCATTATAAACCAAACAGCAGCTCTCAAAATCCTTTTGCTTCACTTCCTAGATTTTGGAAAGGAAAGAAATTCTTAGAACCATCTTTAAATGAAATTGATCTTTCTCATTCTGTTAATTTTGATTTATTATCTCCTCGTTGTGCACCAACACCTCCTGGAACACCAGTGTCTCAGGATCAAGATATTTCCATTTCTTTTTGCCAGAAACCTGATAAAAAACATTCAAAGTCTTTGCCTACTTCACCTGTTCTTCGAAGGAAATCGGTAAAATTGCAGACATTATATTCGAATTCTTCCACTGTTGAAGTTCCAGATTCTCCAAGGTCTGTGTCTCCAGGGCCATCATTTTCGCCACCATCATCGCTTTCACCTTTTGAGCCAGATGAGTCATTTTCGGGCTATAACTCCGTCCAAGAACAAATGAGTGATTGTAAATTAGATGATTCTTGCAATCAGTTACAAGGACTGGATAAGATTCATTTAGATACTATCTCAATGCCTCACTGTGAATCACCGGGAACTGTGACATTTCGAACAAAGACTCCTTCTTTGTGTGCCAAACTGAGACGTTCCTCTGGAGAATCTGGCTTCTTCAGTGTTGGTGACCGAAATAGTACTTGTGATTTATCTTTGGAAAGTTACCATACTCAAGAGGATATGCCATCTTGGATAACAGATACTAGTACTGAGTCACATCTTAATGATACACAAAGTGATATAGATGATAGTGGACAAACTAACGGAAGTAGTAGGAAAAGGCCTTCATCATGCTATTCAGATGACTCATGTTACTGCTGTGGGGTTAACTCACAAATTTGCTGTGAAATTAGACTAAATACTCATTCAGAAATGTATAAAGAACATGAGGGCAAAGTTGCTGTCCCTTATACGAACCTGCCAAATTTCCAGAAGCCTGTTCAAAGTCTGGTAACTGATATAAACTATTCTTGTCATTTGTGCAGTGCTGAAAATTCCTGTAATCACAAAGAGTCATGTGTATTGAAAGAACTATCTAGTCAAGTGAACATACAATCAGAGTCGTCTGTCTTCAATCATAATCAAGTAGGCAGGCACCATGTCAATACTGTGTTGTCTAAAATGTGTGAAAAAGGAAACAGAATTGTAAAATGTATGAGAACTTCACCAGAATTATAAAGTAAGTTTTTAGTTCTGTTATTCTGTTTTGTTTCTATGTAGTTAATCTGATTATTTTAGGCTGTAAATAAAATTATTCCTTATAAGCTTTGAAATATGATTTTGAAAAGGATTTCATTAATCTTGACTACAATATAAACATACAGAATTGGATACATACAATATTATTGTGCTATATATGCTTATGTCATGAAAGACTGCTTGCTTACCTCTGAGTAAACAACCACACAGTACGAGAGAAATCAAAGGACAGGTCAGAAAACTATAAAGCACTTTCATATTTTGCGTCTACTCTTTCAACAATCAGTTCAAAGACATTTTCTCTTTGTCTTTCTTATCATGGGATTCATTCTTTTTAAAACTTTTGTACAGTAGCTGAAAAAATCTAACAATAGCATACCCTGCATTTGATGGGTGCATTAATTCCACTAGACATCACTACATATGTGTGATGGATGGAATGAAGAACTATTTAATGTAAATGACAGTAACTGTACAGTAAATATTCCTGTCCATATGTCATACTGCTGTACTAATTCCCCCTTTCCCAAACTTGATCAAGATAAATATAAATAACTTGAGAGAGAGAAAGGAGCAAATTTATGACTAACTTGTTCAGAAAATTATTTTGGCTTTTTAAGAATCTGGAAGATTAAATAATAGCTTTAATTCAGATATGCTTTGGACTGTCACTGCCCATATGAATAAACAAATAAAATTGTTTATTCATATGTACTCGATATCTTTCTAGCTTCATTTCCTATTAGGACAGACTGCTTATTTGAAGGTTTGTAACTTTCCATTGCATGCACATAATCAGTTGATATCCTTTTAGGAATCCACATCTCTTAGTTTAATCAAACCTGACTGCCACAGCATTGAGTTACAGTTTTGAGTAAGATACAGACTTGGTGTCTTCTCTCATCAATTGATATGAAAGCCTTCTTGAAAGTTTTGTGATTGAGGAGGAGGGCTAAACAGCCTTACATTCTACATCCTAGGATGTTTTTCCTCAGTGGTAGAATTTGGCTGATGGCCCTTGTGTGCTTCCTGATATTCAAATAATCGATTCCTATGTTCTGTGTTCAAATAACCATACCAAGAGGTAGAAAGCAAAGGTTTTTCAGATAACTTTTGCTGACTTTGTCATAATAAATTTTTCAATTGTAATTAGTGCTGAAATGAATTTGTAATTTCATTTGAATTATTCATTCATAACTGAGTTTAATCATCATAGTTCATAATATACTATTAAAAATGATATTTGTTAGATAGCTAGTGGTATGCGCATCTTTTAAGAAAAGTATAATTAATATCTGTAACTTAGGCCTTTTAAGAAGGGGGAGAGATGGTTATGGAAGAAACATTTGTGAAAATTGAAAGATGCAGATTTCATTCCTTGGCAAAGATAAGCCCAGTAAAAATAGAGGTTCCACAAAGCATTATGAAGGAATCGTATTAAATGAAACTTCTTGCATGAAAGGCAGTTGAGTAGCATCAGGAAAAGTAATGGCTATCTTGAATTCAGATACATAATCCTTTCTCCATTTGGCATGTTTTCCACAAGACTGTTAAGAATTAACAGAATGTTTCTTCACTATTCATATAAGTGGAGTGATGTAATATATCCACTTCTCATTGTTGCATACCTTTGTGCCACATTGAGAGCATTCTTGTCACATAAGATGCCAGTGGTGACATTGCTGCCAGTTGTCTAATAGCTGTTATGATAGGTTCCGTCGGGGAAGAACAGTATTTGTAAAGCGATTCTACTGGATTTGACTGTAATCTTTTCCAGATCTTTCTCATAAAAGGAGAAAGATTACAGTCAGATTCAGTAGAATCTCTTTATAATATCATTCTGTCCTGACTAAACCTATTGTAACAGCTAGATCAGACAGCTGGCAATGATATTCTGTTGTTGTGTACAGTGCTTATCAATAATTTTACTTCCTGGATGGAATGGTGAATGTTAGTGGTTACATGTTCCTCTTTATGGTCTAGTGATGTCGAAATTGCCCTTAGCATAAGAACAGAAATTCATTTGAGAGTGATTTTTACTGAAAACAATTCTTTAACTACTCTCTCATTAATACTTTTGATACTAATGTAGTTTGGCTGAGCATTCTGGAATTATAATGTAATGCATATGAAAAAATTTTGCGTATATAGCCCAACATTATTTAGTTGATTGCAGCTATTAAAAGTTCTGCTGATAATTTTACATTTCTTATCTTTTATTAAAAAGAATTATACTGGTCTTCCTGAGTTATTACTGTTATGGACTGTTATACTGGAATAAGCAGCTTTTACTTTTTGCCTTCCATTCAAGAAGTAAAATTTCTGGAGATGTCAGAACTACTATATTTTATAGAATTTTGAGGATCTAACTGATTATTCACAGTTATGCATTTATTTAAAGTTATAAAGGTGGAGTGAACAGTATAAATACTAGACAATATAGATGTTTCTGATTTCAAAACTATAATCTTGTCTTTAAGCCGGTATAGTGCTTCAGCAATAGACTTGCAAGTAGTATCAAGTATTTTCCATTTTTAGTGCAGGCTTCACAGTGTAATTACATTTGCCAGATACCACCGCATATATTTTCGAAGAAATATTTTTGATTTTTTTGCAATTCAAAAACTTTTTGTCCATTTCTGTTAATTTTGGTTTCCCTGTATTCAGTTTTGCATCATTATAAAAAGGAAATTAACCTTTGGAAATTTTTCTAAATTTTCCAAAACAGCATGCTCCATGTTCATGTAGTAACGCATACCACTCAAAATTCGTGAGAGGAATTATTTCCTAGAAGAATGCATTGCTCAACAACATTCGTATCCACCTCAATGCATCATTTGTGCACATGCATTGCATTGCAAAATCTGCTTATTTCGGCTTCCTCTACCATCTCTGTCTCTCTCTCTCTTCCCCCCTTTCCCTCCCCCCAGCCTTTACATTTTTGCCAAATATTTTTGCTTTAATTTTGAAGTCTGTCATAAAAGCCTATTGAGTTATGTTAAAATTGTTTTTAAAATTCATTATAGGGTATTAAATTTCCATTTGTCTGTAGTACTAGAAAGTCAGTGCTTCATTTTCTGAGAAAAGAATTTGTAAATTTCTCAAGTTGTACAGCCCTCATGTTAATTAAGTGAATTTCTTAAAAATAACACTTTTAAAAGGATTCAAGATCCAGATTTGCTTGAGTCACCAGTTAAACTTTCCCTTTCAGTAGTCTGTGTAAAATGTCATCTATTTAACTGTACCAATTTCTCATAATTCCAATTTCTTGAATCAAATTTAAAATACAGTCAAAAGTCGTTAATCCGGACTCGTCGGGACTTCGGCGATTCCGGATTATAGATCATCAGTTTAAATCTGGTAAGATGGCATGCAGAAATTATAAAATTAAAAATATGAAACCTTAATTTATGAAATAAAGAACAATTATGATCTAAAGGGTATCAAAATTTACAAAAAGAAAAGCTTAATATTTATTTGTTTACTTTATTAAACATTTCTTTCAATGTTTATTGTTTAAGTTGCTTCGTTTTTTATGTGATAATACTTTCTCTTTAACTCTATAAACAGACATAATTTCTTGTTCAGTTACAAAGTTCTGCTGTTCATGTCCTATAATTGATGTGTCGAGAATACCGACTAATTCGTCAATCAAAATGTTTTCGTTTTCAATAACATCTGTGTCACTTTCTTCGCTATCGGAAGCGAATTGTAATGACGAGGAATTTGATTTAAATCACATCAAAGACAGTACATCGAGATGAAATACTACATTTAGTAAGGAATTATAAGCCAAATAAAATAAAAACATCTGCTCTGAAATAAGAAGTGCTGACAGATCAACTTCCGATTCATCGCGCGCCAAGGCATCCCCCTTCCCCACCGCAGAGCAGCGTGAAATTGATAAAGATTTTGGAATGGTTAAAATAAACACAGGATATGCCTTTATCCATTTTTTGCAGCAATTCCACTGTTTGTTTAATGGACTTCAAAACATACTTTCGCTTTGTAGATCCTTTACATATTATTAAATATATATCAGAAATTCTATTTGACATAATCGAAAGTTCAAGCTTACTTTTATAAAATTGCTCTAACAGTCTGCAAAAAATAATAAGCCGGATCCAATTCGAAGATTAAGGAACAACGCTATCTGCAACATTAACTGAATTAAATAATTCTTACCTTATACCGTCCGTTATACATTAAACGTGCATTCGTAAATGTATTTTGCGCATGTGCACACGCATATTTGCAGACGTAAAGGTCTTACGCGCATGCGTCAATGAGACGCATGCGCAGAAAGTTTGTAGCTTTTGAAGTCCGGATAGATCATTCCGGATTATGGGTGTCTGAATTAACGACTTTTGACTGTATAAGTTATCTTAATATTAAATTATGCAAGGACTACTGCAAAGTGTTAACCATATTGTATTAAATATTACATAGTAAACCATTTGGGAAAAATATGCAGACACCCTTTTAGAAGCAGATCATGCATAGGAGAATATATGAGGAATAGGAGAATATGTGAGAAATCATGCCTATATGTTTAAGCAATGAGAAAGTTAGCACAGCTGAGTGATTTTGAACTTGACATTTTCATGGGGGTTCATCATTTTTTTGTCTGTTCATGAAGTATTGGCTTTGCTATGGATGTCTAAATCAGTGGTATGAGATGTCATTTTAAAATGTGAATTCCTGTAAAATAGCAGGAAAATGAAGTGATAAACCTCATAAAATTAGTGGTCATAATTGTAAACCCTGAACAGGATAGTGAAAAAAAAAATTAGCAACAATCCTTTGAGAGTTCCGAAATGCTTCTGGCATTGCCGCAGCATCAGGACTGATCAGGAGCTAAAAAGCAGATATCCACATTTATGCAGCTGACAGCAAAAAGTTAAGCACAGTCATTGCCAAATGTCAGTTGCAGTGGTGTAAAGCTTACTGCCACTGAACCATAGAGCAGTGAAAAGTTCTTTTTAGTATTGAATTTTGTTGCACAATTTTAACCGTTATATATATGCACATGTGGGTACGAAAACATCTCGTATTTGATTATATTCTGTGAACTGCCAAATTTTGTGGTTGATGGTTCCATCACAGTTATGGGCTGGTTTTGTGGTATGGCTTTGGGTCTTTCTTGTGGCTAGAGAAATGACAGCTGAGATGTATTTTGATATTCTTGGCCACTCAGCATTTCCAGTTTATTGGCAATAGTTTGAGAAAGGACTGCTTCTATATAAACAGCATAACTGTTCTATCCACAGAGCAAAGTCTGTGCTTCTTGTTTCAAGGGATAGGTGTTAAAAACTCAACTAGCCTAAACAGAACCTCAGTCTCAACCCTGCTGAACACCTTTGGGAAGAACTGGAATGCAATTACATTTTAAACCAAACTGCCCATCTTAATGGCCAGACTCATTGTAACTCTTATTAATGAATGGAAGGAAATTTCTGCAGCAGATATCAAAAGTTGGTGAAAATTTTTCCCACCTGGATTTGACTGATGCAGATGATGGACTGACATTCTATTAATTTGTGCCTCATATGTCTCATTCTGCAGTAGTGCACTTGTTCTACTTTTCAGATATTTTCAGTTAAATAATGTATAATTAGTGCTGTATTATATATGATAGTATAGTAATATGAGGATTATCTATAGTTTAGATAATTTAAGGTGGGAAAAGTTTTCACCAACTTTTAATATTATCTGCTGCAGAAATTTTCTTCCATTCATTTAATAGTGCCCTATTCTCTCCTGTGTGAGCCACACAATTTTTCACAAAAAAGCAATTGAAAATAGGGTGCAGCTTATGCATGTAAATGATTAGAAATATGGACAAACATTTAAAATTTGAGGAAGAAATGCTCTGAGATACTGGTAAATGCAGGCAACTGCTCTAGGGATACTGACAGTGACTGTGAAAAAGAGATGCTAAATAGAGAAACATGTTCCTTTTGACTGATAATAAAAATGTCTCTGTGTGGTAGGTAGTGTTTTTATTTTAGCTGCTTTCACAATTTCAATCATGATGCTTATCCTTGTTTTTTTTAAAGAAATTTTAAAAATTAAGGGTGTAGCTTATACACACATACAGCCTAATGTGAGAATAGGGTATATAAAAAGTTATATGCATCATAGAAATATGATTTAAATGTAATTTATATTTTTAGTGATTTGGGTGTATTTATATATAAAACATAAATTTTTTTATTTTTATTCCTTTCCAGTGTTCCAAGGAAGTTGACAAAGATGGGTTCGCAGATTCTGAAATCAATACATTTTCTTTGAGTTTGTTTGTATTATAATTTTTCTACTCCGCAGTTATAGTTTGAAATGCATTCATAGATGTGTACAGTGTGAAAATTTTTCTTAATTTTTTCTTTTTGTTAAAAATTTTTGAATAAAAATTATTGCCAAAGACAAAGTACCTTATTCCTTAGATGTATTATAATTATGTAATAATTTTGTATAAAATGTATATATATATAATCTGAAGAGGAAGTATGCAGTTATTGTATTTCTTTAAATTTGATACTTTGTCCCAACTTAATAGCATTTTTATACTTCGTAAAACAAAAACAAAAAAAAAAAAAAAAAAAAAATAATTTGCTCTTAAATTGTGCATGATTTGTATAATTGCTGAGCTTTATGAAGTAAAATTGAAGGGCTTGCAGCAAAGAAGATCCCAACTGCACATTTTTAAATTTTCAGAAAATTTTTTAAAAAAATTCAAAAACTCATTTTTTAACTTTAAATGCAGTATGCAGTAAAATTTCATTTAAAAATCCTCATTTAAAATGCAGTAAAAATGATTTTCTATGGCTACTACAATGCAAAGAAAGATTTTTTTAACAAAAGAAGACCCATGAACACAAATCTTCATAAGTGGAACTGGGCTCTTCTTTCTGCAAGCCCTTCAATTCTTAATCCTTTGTCAGAAATAACAAGTTTCAATATAAATATGTTACTTAACATATCATGAATGGATTATTTCATTTTAATTTGTATGCTCTAAGTGACTGAGCTCATTCTAAGCTTGAAGGAGTTCACATGAAGCATTAAACTGAAATAAAATGCATTTTAGTTTTAAAGGTAATAAAGTCTTGCATACATTTATGTTACTGTTTTGTTGGATTGTTTTTAAACTATCCACAGTTTCATACTTTCAGCAAAATTTTGCTTTGTTATATACTTAGTATAAATTTTATTAGGTTACATATAAGTTTTGCATTGTTTGATTTTTAATGAATAATTATTTTATTTGAAATTTTATTACAAATGAGAAGATGAAAAATTTGATTATTTTTTATTCAAGATCCAAATTTATTGTGTTAAATTAAATCATAAAGTTAGATGTGTTGCATTGTGCTACTCAGCTTAAAGGGAATTCAGTAATTAAATTGTGATAATTTATTATTTTGTTATGTTTTCTTAATATATGTGGTTATTTAATCTTGACTAATGTGATCGTGGCTGGCATGCATTTTCATTTTTAGATTGGAATTGGCTTGATTTTATTTCGTATGTTAGCAAGTCTTGACCTTCTTGTGAATGGCTGGTGCATATCAGCTACCAGCATAGAGGTTGATATGCATCAATTATTCATAAAGGATTAATAAAATGTCTTCTGTCAGTCTTCTGTCTGTGGCTGGCATGCATTTTCATTTTTAGATTGGAATTGGCTTGATTTTATTTCGTATGTTAGCAAGTCTTGACCTTCTTGTGAATGGCTGGTGCATATCAGCAACCAGCATAGAGGTTGATATGCATCAATTATTCATAAAGGATTAATAAAATGTCTTCTGTCAGTCTGTAAGTTAGATGATTAATAAGTTATGTATAAATTTCCAAATTTGGTTATTTATAACTTATTTGTTACAGGTTAGTTTAAGTTTTCTCTCATCTTAATTTTTACTGCGTATTTAATTTTATTCAAAAGCAAGAGTTGTCTTCACTTTCTAAGCTGTTATTCATGTGAAAGAAAAGTAGAGTCATAGAACAGCAGTAAATGAAAGCACCGATTTATTTACAACTTGCTTTGATTCCAGTTGACAATTTTTGGAACACTGAACTGCTATTCTAAAGTAAAATTAATGAGATGTGGGCCATGTTACATAATGTGCATAAATATTCACAATGCCTAAATTAGTATGTTTTAAAATTTATCAAGAAATATGTTTAATGTATGCTAGCTGCACATTTTTGACATTTGATTTTAAAATAGTCATGTTTATTCCAGTAATACATGTTAATTGTAAATTCTATTAAAAAAAATTCTGATATGCAAATTATAGTAAATATTGTATTGATTTCTTTGTAAGTGATGTTAAAGACACTGAAGATAGCTGAAAGCTAACATTTAGATTAATTAACATTTGGAATAACATTTGGATAACATTTGGATTGTAATTTCAAATGAATAATTTTCTGTCAGATATTTATTTTTTCTTTTATTATCCGATTTACATAGGTCAAGTGAATTACTTTCATGATTAAACTTAATCTGTTATCTTTGCCATCATATACTGAGATTTTTGTACTGATAAAAAACTGAGTTATGAAGAAAAAAATACTCTAAATTTTTTATTTATTATATATTCAGCAGAATATTTTTGCTTGTACTTACTTTCTCTGAACTTTGTTTAAATTCTGACATAGCAGCAGTGTAAAGAATATGATTTATAAAAAAATTTATTGGACTGCAATTGATAATTGTTTGATAACTGACAAATGTATTTTTTAAGGACTGAATGAATTGTGACTTCAGAGCTTGGAATATAGTTAAATAAAATTATATTTTATCAAATATTATATTTAGACTTGTTTTAATTTTTTTCACATAGTATATTACTGTTTTACTAACATTTTGTAAATTTTATCTTTATTTAAACACATGAGGAGCAGAATATGACTTTACTCTCAAAGTCATAACATATATCCTATTTTTAAAAGCTTTCATGTTTATGACATAATCAAAGCAGCTCCTACTTTACCCAGGGTTAAAAAGAAGGGCTACCTTATTCCTTTGTGTGACTCGTTGCTGACGCGATCCTCAAATGGGGGTTTAATCGGAAGTGGTCTGACATCACTTTTATGTTGCATCTGTTCAGACTTTGCCTGTTTAAAAATTAATTTTTATTGCATGTATTGTTTTATAGTAAAGCAGTATCAAAGTCAAACTGGCGACCCTCAAAGTAATTTTATGCTGCCTGCTAATACATTTTCTGTGAATTAATTAGCATTATTATGACAAGATTTTCGAGAAAATTTTTAAGATTTTTAATGGTCTGGAGTCCAGTTTTACGTTATATTCATTACCAAAAACAAACGCAACTCTTGAGAAAATCTAGAAGTAGAGCTAATATTTATTTTCAAGTTCTGTCCCTCTTGGGAAGCTTTAGTATATTTCTTTTTAGTGTAAGTAAGTGAGTTAATAGTTCAATATATTACTATTAGTTGATTAAATGCTAGTATGAAAATTTTAATATTTAGCTGTCTGTTTGAACTCCAAATTGTGACCAAAGCAATTTCTTGCTCATAAAACTTCTAGATTTCTGACAAAGTATAAATTTGATATTTTTCTTTGCATTATTTTTATTTGCATGCTTTATGTAGTAAAACATTTTTAGTTTAACAAATTTTGTTTGTTAAATAAAATATATCCCGCCTCCCTCCTTTTTTTTTTTTTTTTTTTTTTTTTTTTTTGCAATTGCTGCCTGTCAGCTGTTTTCTGATTATGCATTGGCCTGTGTATAATCTAAGTCTGAGACCACTGTTGTAAAGTATCCTTTATATAATATGTCTTCTTACATTGTAGCAAAGTGTCATACAATTCACAGAAGTGAGAAAGATTGTAATAATGTATTTCATATTTTTCCAAAGAACTATTTGCTTTTGGCGGAAAAAAATGGATACACGTGTCGAAGGCAGGATTCTATTGTGAAGAATGCAAGAATTTGAAGCGAACATTTTCTATGCGGTGATTAATAAGATGACATGAAAAATGCCTTGCTTGGATTGGCGCAAAAGAAACTTAAAATCCAATACTGTGTCAAGAAAAGAATGATGCAGAGTGCTTTTGAAAGACTACACGAATTACATTTGAAGAAAATTAACTTTGAGGCCGATTATGAAAATGATAGGAATAATAAATCAAATATGAATGATTTTAAAATATTACTCACAAATGCCGATGTGAATGTTGCTGGATGGCCTAACTGTAAAAATACACAATGCATTGATAATTTGTAAAAACCAAGTACAGCATTTGAACTAATTTATAATCTTATAAAACATCCAAGTAATTTCGCATAGAAAAGATCCAAGCATACATGATACATTTGTTAAATATAAAATATATTTATCATAAACTTCATAAAGGAAACTATTTGAACATACAATTTTTGTAGAAAATATGTATGGTAAGGTTTTTTTTAAAACCTTTTGTTACACTAAACTACTTGAATACATGATTTTTATAAAAAATATGAATGCTAAAATTTTGTACTGTTTCCTTTTAATTTTCCTCAATCCGTACTGCTCTTCTCTAATTTTTTCCTCCCTCAATAAGTGTAATTATAACATTGGTGGCCAAAATTCATCATAAAGACAAAAATTCTTCTTTCAAAATTTGCGTTTCCTAAACTTCATTTCTGCAAAATTATTTATCTATACTTGGACGCCCATTTTCTCAGCCATCTCGGCTTCAACACTCAATAGTGATAGGTTTGACAACCGATCTTCTGTCATAGTGTTTCTTAAATATGTTTTTATTAGTTTCAGTATTGAAAATACCTCTCACTCGTGGCTGTGGTTACAAGTAATGATAAATACGATATAAGTGAATTGCACACTCCCGAATAACTGCTTGTCATGTCATAGTATTTTACCATTGCTAATTTAGCTAAATCCTTAACGGATTTCAAATTTTGGATTTCTGTTCTGAAAGTATTTATAAATAATAAAAGTTGTACTTCCAGTACAAAGTCTTCTTTATATGTTTTCTGTATTTTTGAAACATTATTAATAATTTCCGTATTTGTTAACAATGACATTGTTTTAGGTTCTTTATTTTTATTTTATTTTTCAAATTTAGTTTCTATGCCCCCTTTATTTGCAATAAACTCGGCTTCTTTCATAATGTCTTCAAACTTGTTTCTCATATCTTGCATATTAATAGAAATGCTTTTTAGATTTTGATGAGCTCCATTCAAGTCAATTGATTTTCGATTGTCGAGCCGATTGATTGGTTGATCGATCCTGCACTATAGCGCAGGACGTATTTAAAAAATTTTGTTTTTAAATTTTTGGCCTGTTATTATGTTTCTTAAATATTGAATAAAATTGGACAGTTGAATTCGATGAATGTTACTACAGATATTGCTTTAGTTTCGATTTCGGATCCTAAAGAAAATAAAAACAGGAAGTTCAAACTTCCTAAACTTGAACTGAAAAAATTTTCTGGAGATGCAAGAGAATTTTTAGGCTTTTGGAGCCAATTCTCCAAAATTCATAAAGATGCGGATATTGTGCCGGAAGATAAATTTTTATACTTAGTGCAAAGTGCAGTACCTGGCTCAAAGGCAGCTCAACTTTTGAACAGTTTTCCTGTTACCGCCGCGAATTATCCCAAAGCTATCGAGCAGCTGAAAGAAAAATTTGGTAGAGAAGACCTTCTGGTGCAGATCTGTTTATGAGATTTGCTTGGGCTTGTTACAAAGAATGCTACAGCAGGCAGAACGGCGTCGGACTTAGGAGTACTTTATGATAGTATAGAAAGTAAATTACGAGCGCTGGAAAGCTTAGGACGCACCAAGGAAAAGTTTGCTGATTTCTTGAGACTTTTAGTAGAGTCGTGCCTACCTGAGAATATTCTAGGTGCCTGGTAGCGAAGTCGAACTTCTGAACAGGGACAGGAAAAGAGTTCTGAAAAACGCTTGAAAAACTAATGTGTTTTTTAAAGCATGAAGTAGAATCGGAGTAAATGATTAGATTAGCACAATCAGGATTTGCTCCTTCTGTTAAGCGTCATAATAAAAATGTTATTTCAGGTAATTCAGATTTAGCAACAGCTGCCGCGCTGGTAAGTACAAATGAAACCAGTAAAGGTAAGCAAAATGTTTGTATATTTTGTGGTAAGCCTCATATGAGTGCTAAGTGTTTTAAAGCTGAAAATATGAGCTTAAATGAAAAGAGGCAACTTGTACAAAAGAAAGGTGTTTGTTTTTCATGTTTAAGAATTGGTCATTTAAAAAACCAATGTAAAGCCAATATTAAATGTCCCATTTGCAGTTGTGATCATATAAAATTTATGTGTCCTCAGAATGTTAGTTCTGTAAAACAAAATGACTCTAAGTTGAATGTTTCCCTTTCTAATAATAGTAAGAGCGAGAAAGTTTATTTGCAAACTTTATGTGTTCTAATTAAAGTTAAAGATCGAGAGAGAAAAATTAGGATTCTCTTGGATTCGGTATCCCAACGATTATACGTTGGGGAGAAAATTATTAAGCGAATGAAAGCTGATCCTATTCGACAGGAGAAAGTAATTCATGGTTTGTTTGGGGGGAGGGAAACTGCGCCTGTAACACATTCTGTTTTTGCTATTTACATAAGCAGTTTAGATAACACTTTTAGGTGTTGTTTTGAAGCTTTTTCTGAAAAAAAAGATATGTGGATTTGTTCCAACAATCAAGAATGCTCAGAGTATAGAGGAATTGAAAAGCAGGAAAATTGAGGTCAGTGACACATTTTGCGAGGAAAGTGAAATTGATTTATTAATAGGCGCAGATGTCATTGGTAAACTGTTAACTGACAAATACCTAGAATTACATCTCTGGTTTAACTGCAGTCAAAACAAAACTGGGTTGGACGGTTATGGGTGAAGAAAATGATACTGTTAGGAATAATGCCCTAATAAGTCTTTCCTTACATGTAAATAATGCTTCTTTGAAATCTTTATGGGAGCTTGAAGTTTTGGGTATTTCCGACCCGACGGAAAGTAGTAAAGCGAAAAATGTTCATTGCGACTACGAGATTCATTTTCAGAATAAATTATCTATTCGGCTCGATGGTAGATATGAATTAGAATTACCCTGGAAATGCGAATCTACCAATTTATCAGATAATAAAAGCATTGCTTTGACATGTCATCAAAAAATGATTAAGAGGGCAAAAGAAAATAATTCTTTGAAGGAATATCAAGAAGTGTTCAGAGAGTGGGAAAATTTAAATATTATAGAAAAGGTTCCGGAAAAGGAATTAAACAATAAATGCCACTTTTTACCACACAGACCGGTTATTAAGATGAATAGTGAACGCACTAAGGTAAAACCCGTGTTTGATGCTTCATCTTGTGAAAAGGGAAAACCATCTTTGAATCAGTGTTTATTGAAAGGACCTAATTTAATAGAATTAGTCCCTGATATTTTAGACAGAATGAGATTTTTTCCTATTGGTCTGAGTGCAGACATAGAGAAAGCATTCTTGCAGTTAGGAATTTCTCCGAAGGATAGAGATTACTTGCGATTTTTCTATCCAAGTGATGAGGGAGAAATAGTGTATAGGCACTGCAGAGTAGTTTTTGGAGTTTCCTCCAGCCCTTATCTACTAGGTGCGTCTATTAAATATCTCTTGGATAATTGTTCATCTGATTTTTTAGATGTGGCTGACTAATTAAAAAATTCGTTCTATGTAGATAATTGTATTACGGGTGTTTACAATATTGAGGCACAAGAGGATTTAATTCAAAAGGCCAAAATTCTTATGTCGAGAGGCAGATTTAATTTACGGGGATGGGAGAGCAATGTTGCTTC